GGGTTGAGACTGCTCCAGATTTAGAGCAGCTGCTTGTGCGTCTTGCAAGCGTGGAGCTCTGTTGCCTTGGTTGAAGGCACGCTCGTGCGCGAGTGCTGCAAACGTTGAGCTTGGAGTTGAGTGTTGTAGGGTTGGGTCGTGTGTCCTGAACTTTGTTGTGAGAGCGGTGCATTGTCGTGGTTTTCTCAGCCGTCGCGCGACAAGGTCAGCGACAAGGCGCGACATAGGCGCGACAAGGCACAAAGTTGCTCAGCCCACCACTTGCCAATCCATTCCTTAAGTAAGGCTACCAGAGTGGAACAATTCTGTATAGGAAATATCAGGAGTCATGAAAGGTTAAGCTCGCATCCGTTCCGGCGCCATGCCAATAATCAAAACGCCCCAGCTGCGCGTTGCCGCAAAACAGAAGCCAGTTTTGCGTAAGGCCTTGGTGACCTTGCGCGGCCGCTGCTCGCCACAGCTTGTTGCAAAGACTTTGTGGTCCGTGTTGTCCAACGACGAGAAAAGCGGTTTGCGTCTTCTGTGTGAGGGTGCAGATGTTGACTGCGAGGACCGGGCGAAGGTTGCAGTGGCAGAAGCTTTGGCACTGGAGGCAGCGGGCAGTTCGCAGGAGGCCACGGGTTCTCGAGCTGTTCTTGCCCGAGCAAGCAAGAAGGTGTTCCGTAGCAGGCAAGCTGCGGAAGGAGCTCTGGGCGTCGCGTTTGGACGCCGTGTGTGGCGACGGCGAGATCAGAATCCCAGGAGCAAAAAAGGCCGTCCCAACATCAAGGATAAGGCCGAAACGAAAATGGAAGTACGCAAGTATCTCGACCAGAACTCTACGCTCAACTCGCATTACATCAAGATTGCCGGCCAGATGACACAGTGCCGCTCCCTGCAACGCTCCAAACGCAAGTTGTGGATGCTAAGCCCCGAGATGCAAAAACTCATGTCCTTGTCAACGTGGACACGGCACTTGCGAATGCACCATCGGCAGTACGTCAAGTACAAGAAGAAAGTGGACGTTTGTGGAATATGCCACAAGTACGATGTTGTGACCGTGCCGCGTGTGAAGCGCGAACTTCATGAGACCAGGAACCTGCTGTGCTCCCAGAGTCCCACATACTTCGACAACCTGGACCGCTTCTGGGCTGGCATGAAGGCTTCCGGGAAGACAGATCCAGCGCTTGGGCCGCAATTAGCTGACATTAGTGGTGCTTTGAGCATTAGAACCACATCAGTTTCCGGGAATGTCTGTCAGGACGATACTTGCAGCACACAGTATGTCAAGGGGGCGGTTCAGTACATTGACAAGAACATGGCCAAGCGAGAACGGACTCCAACTTCTCGCGAGCCTGGGAATCTTATTCGGTTGCATGAATTAAGAGAGAAGGAACTGGAAGCACTCAAGATCCTCAGAGGCACACTCGCAACGTTGGAAGGATGCGAGCACCACTTCCACTCGGTGCGTCGCCAGCACGCTTGCAGAGAGAAGCTGGAAGTAGAGATGTCCCCTGGAACCTTGCTCCTTCAGCTCGATTACGCTGAAAACGTCACCATTCCTGTGGGACCTGTCGAAGAGCAATCCTGGTTTTGGGCTACATCAAGATTGGGCATATCAACCTTGGGCATCTATGCTCGCTTTGATCAAGCCGGAACCAGCCATAAACGATACTTCCATTATGTATCTCAGATCTTAGACCACACAGCTTTGCACGCGTCTGAGGCATTGAAGGACGTCATTCAGCGCCTGAAGCCTGACTTAACAGGCATAGAACACATCATGGTGTGGACTGACTGTGGACCCCATTACAGAGCATATGCCTTCTTGGCCACAGCTGTCCCGTTGCTTGCGCAATCCCACCGCTGGAGTTCCATCAGCTTCAATTTTTTTGGCGAACATCATGGAAAAGGAAGGAATGACGGACAATTCGGCCTGCAGCGAAAATGGCTAGAGGCTGCTACCAGCAGGAAAGTCATTTCCACGATGGAGCACTTCACTGAGGCTCTGCAAGAAGGTGCCGCGCACACAATGCGAACTGACCCCCCACCTGCAGGCCCCAAGTATGACATCGTCCACTTTCATCCTCCGAAACCGAAAAAGTTCAATTACTTGGATGCAGGTTCGATGGATTTGAAAGTGGAGTACACGTACTCTGTTTGCTTCCGAAGGACCAAGAATAAGCGTTACCCGGTGTTGCTGGACGACTACACGTACAGCGACCGCTTCATTTCACGCGAGAAGCCTCGAGAGCTCGGAGCACCTTCTCTGATTGTGAAAGATTCAGCTGAAGCTTGGCGGGTCTCATATCGCAAGGACGAGCCCGAAAAGGAAGGCCTGCCTGAGAATTTGCTGCGTCGGCGCCTGGAGCAGCAAAGGCATGCCCGTTCAAGTGACATTACGTTTCGGCACACACCGGAGATGGAGAGGATTCTGGCCATCGAAAAGGAACAAGCACGTAAAAAAGTCAAGGCTAAGCGAGCACAGGTCGTGTTTGCGCGCCAGTCACAAAGTGACGGCAGCGCCAGCAGCAGCAGCAGTAGCAGTAGCAGCAGCAGCTGACGGAGGAGCCAAAAGAATTGGTTGCTCAAGCTGTGTGTGCAAGTGAGGTCATTTGGCCATTTAGGGGCTTAAATAAGTGCTATTTCACCGGAGGTGACAATCACCTTATTTTTCCAAACACAAAATTTCAAGAACCATTTGGTTTTGAAATAGTGCTTGCGAAAGTTTCTCTTTTTCTACTTCACGCTTTTCTCACATGTCGTTTATTTTACAGTACATGTGTAAGAGTAGTGCTTGCAGTTGCCTCTGATTTGTGAGCCGCTGAAGCACTGGCTCGTCGCTGGGGGAAGTTTTTGCGGGCCTAGCGGGGGGGGGGGGCGCTGGTGCTTAGTACCCTCGGGGAACGGCACTGGCTTCCGCTCGTGTTGTGTGCTCAGCATGGATGCGATCACTGACGAAGAATCGTTGCCTGCTGTTTCCCGCGCTGCTTCAGAGTCTTCTCAAGAGGAGGTCCTCGTCGAGGATCCTGCGCCGACTGGTGATGCTGTGCTCGTACAAGCGGTCACAGTCGCTGATGTGCAGAAGGTTCAAGTCGAGTGGTCTCGCAGGTTCCACTCCGTGTCTGAAGATGTGGCTGCCTTGGAATTCCAAGTGCAGTCCCTCAAGGATGCGAATGCAGAGCTCCGCCGGGAGTTGGCTGCCACTCAAGATGCTCTGGCGGAAGTGAGTCATGCCTTAACTTGTCTCACTCTGGAGGTTCGCAACCGATCTGACTGACAACGATGGGCCCTGCACTCTGCAGCTTCTTTTGTCTGTGCCTAGCTCGAGTCTGCGTGCCGTTCCAAGCCTGTGCTTCAAGTTTGCAACCTCAATGCGCGAGACTCAGACATTTGCATAGACACCTGCTTGGTACCGGTGCCTCGTTTGCAGACCTCTGATGTAGCAGCTGGCGATGCCCAGCGAGATCGTGCATTGCTCAGACTGTGCGCAAAACGCATTTTGCAGAGTGCTTTCTTTCGAGATTGTGAATGCTTGCAGTGTGCCAGCGACCTCTCATTTTGACTCCTGTGCACGCTCATGAATGCCAAGCTTTGAGTGTGTAGCTTGTAAGTCACGAGGGTCTTTGCGGTAAGCGGCACAGGTCCGTTCCCTTCTTAGGTAATGGATGTGTCTGCCCCTGAGAGTTCTTCTGATCGCGGAGCTGACCTTCGCAGTCTGCCTCCTGATGAAGAGCCGGCTGCTGGGTCTTCAGAGCGAGCTAGCACTGATGATACCTTCTTGCTGCTCTCTGACCATGTGTGGGAGTTAGAGCAGCGTGTGACTGTTCTGGAACAACGACTGATTGCAGCTGATCCTGTGCCCAGAGAAACTCTTCAACGCGAGATCACAGGGATCTCTCGAGCCTTTTTCGGGCTTGCCGATCGAGTCTCGAGTCTGGAGCTCCGTATCACTGAGCTGGCTAGGTCGCTTCGGAATTGCTTTGCAGGACTAGACCGATAATCTCGGCTCTGCCCTGTCGCTAGGCAATTACAGTGTCAAGCCTCACAGACTTTACACGTCGACTTGAGAATGCTGCGACTTCTTAAAATTGAAGGGCCAGTTTTGCAGATCTCTTTATGCCGACTTTGCAAAACTTCACATTTGGCTCTTTTTCTCGAGCCCTTTTTTGCAGTCACTAAGCCACTTCGTGCCTTCGACATCAGAATGGCCACCACTTCTGCTGATCTCGGTGGAGCTACTGTGGCTGATTCTTCTTGTCAGCTGACTCGGGCCAATCTCTGGAAGCATACCGCTTTGCATCCTCAGGCTGATCGCACCAGGTCTCTTGTTGACCACGATGCTCGAGCACGCTTTGACTGCGATATGATGGGTGTCAGGAACCGTACGCAGAGTTGGCCACTAGCTTGGTGTGGGAGCGCTCTGGTTCCTCTGAGGACATTTCCATCGTGGGGAGCTCAAGTGGCGACTTAGGCGTTGAGCGCCCGTGGTTGGAGGTCTTCAATTCTTTGACTCCCAACCAGCGGCGTGCCCTCTGTGGGCCATTCAGCGCTGATGCATCCACCAGAGCTTTTGCTTTCACGCCTTTGGAGCTTGTTTTGTCTCATGAGGCTCCTTTTTCTGATGATGCTCTTTCTGTTTCCAAACGATTTCGTAGCCTCGAGTCTACGTGTGTGGCACTTGGTGGCAGAATCGACATGTTAGAGGATGCGACTGGCCACATTGTGGGACCTCGGTTCCATACAAGCCTCATGCGCCGTGTTGGCGCTCTTGAGCGCTTCTTAGGGATCGACCCTGCCAGCTGAGTTTCCACAATTTTCAGCCATGCTGCTCGCCGTAGGGCTGTGTCGACGCACACCTGAGACGTCTGCTGTGCATCGTGAAATTGCAGGACTCTGTGTTCTTGCAAGGCTCATGCTTCGTGCAGTGACGGTCGTCCACAAGCCCTTTTGCTCTGCTTTGGCTTATGTGCAATTGTATCAGTGCCACTGCTGACATTCTTGTGTCTGCCTGCCCGACCATGGACCCCTCCGTGTTGGAGGATGCCGACCTGGCTGCCTTGGAGCACGAGTTTCCCGCTGATCTTCAGATTGATGGGGGAGACTTCGGTGATCAGCTTAGTCATGCCAATCAGGATTGTGATGAGGCTGAAAGGCGGACTCCCGACCCTTGGCTTCTGCTGGACTCGGGCGGGCACTTCCAGGCAGTGTCTGAGGATGCTTCTCAACTTGGAGTTGAGGCTGCTGCTTCTGAGGACGATGCCAGTGCTGAGGTGCATTGGTACCAGCAAGTTGCCGAGGACTTCCCGTCATCCGATGTTGAGAGCCATCATAAGCAATCCCAGTGGAGTCTTGTTGAACTGCATCCTTCAGTACCTGCAGCCCCGCCTCGGGTTACTGCTGAAGGGTATCAGACTGCTCTGTCGGCTGCTTTTCATGCGGTTCCGGCGAAGGCTACGCTGTCACTTCCATGGGAATCAGGAGTCTGGAGTGCGTTGTTTGGTGCTGCTGCTTCCGGTGACTGGTTGCAGCAGGTGACACCTGCTTTCAACAGACCTGTGCAGCCGACTAGTGGCCAACCAGAGGAGTCCTTAGTGCCTGCTTCTTCGGGTTTATTTTCACTTTCTTCGAAGCCTCGGCAAGACAGAGTCTTCATGGCTGTCGTGTCGCAGTCTTTGGATGTCTCTTGGGAAGAGCAGAGGGCTCTTGATTTCGACAGATCCGTTAAGCTGTGGCTCCACACGATTCTTCGTTGGGATGTCGACTGCGAGGTGAGGCAGATGCTGTGCGAGGAAGAATCTGTGCAAGGGCAGATTGGACTGCTGGAAGACTTCTTCCGTGGTCGTGCACCATCGACGCTGCTCAAGAGGGCCCGGGCTTTGGCGAAAGTTGCCAATTGGTTGCAGGAGAAAGGCGCGCCAGCCTATCCTATCAGTGAGAAGCTTTTCTACGAATTCCTTCGAGCGGAAAGGGCCCTAGGAGCTCCTGCATCCAGGCTGAAAGGCTTTCACGAAGCCATTGTCTTTTCGAGGTTCGTGCTCGGTGTGGCAGGGCTTGAGCTTGCTACTGCTAGCCGTCGTTGTTTGGGCGCCACTAAATCGGATGAGCCCAGGGACAGGAAGCAGGCCCAACCGCTTACGGTCCAGCAGCTGTTGGAGCTCCACAGGAGGCTTGACAGCGAAGATGAGGACCCGTGGAACAGATTGTTCTGTGGTGCCACACTTTGTGTGGCCTACGCCCGCAGTAGGTGGGGCGACGCACAGCATGTGTGCAGGTGGACCCTGGATTATGACACCCTAGGAAACATCGCATACTTGGAAATTACAGTGGCGAGTCATAAGACGATGCATTCATCTCAGCACCGATTCCAGTTTTTACCAATGGTGTCCATTGCCTTGGGCGTCGCTGACAAAGAGTGGGTCTCCACTTGGATGCGAGTCCGGAAGCAGCTGGGCATAGACAATCCGCCAGGTCACTGTCTAATGCCTGCTCCGGATCAAGAGGGAAAACCTCTCAGCAGACCGCTATCATCTTCGGAGGCTGGGAAGTGGGTTCGTCGCCTCCTGGATTGTGAACCTGCTGAAGGCTGCCCCAACAGGATCACAAGCCACTCTTTCAAGGCAACGCTGCTTTCTATGGCTGCTAAGCGTGGATATTCGATTGAGGACAGGCTCCAGATGGGGTACCATTCAGTGCCGGGTCGCATGGCACTTGTGTACTCTCGGGATGGTGCTGCAAGGAGCTTGCGACTGCTAGAAGTGATGCTTGAGGAAATCAGGAGTGGTTTTTACCTCCCTGACAGCACGCGGTCTGGGCGTCTCAGGGGTCCAGCACGTGAGATTCTTGAGCATGCACCTCTCGCAGGAGAGAATCGGCCTGAGACGGGTGATTCTCGCGCTAGCGTTGGGCCAGAGGCTGTTAAGGCTGAGCTCACCGGCGATCTCGGGGATGGAACTGTTGAGATCTTGGGATCAGAAGACGAACAGGAGGCAGCTGCTACCGAGCGAGCTGCGGATTCCGAGCATGTCACCACAGACAGCTCCGGTAGCGAATCTTCGGATTTGGAAGTGCCTCGAGTTCGTAAGCTGACAGTTCCATGTGCTCCTGAAGGTTATCGTTTTCTCCAGCATAAAAAGACTCGCATGTTGCATCATTAAGGAGGGCAACGAGCGAGTGCTCGAATGTGGTCGTATGGTCGGACCTTTGCACATCAGGCCCACGACTGTACGTTTCGACACCTCGGTCTGCTCTCAGTGTCGAAGGACCACTGGAGAGGAGGCTCGCACAGGAGGTGATTGATGCGATGGACAGGAGTTGCCCTGCGGATCTGATGTCTGACGCATCACAGGCCTGGGGCTTCTGTGTCCAAGGCAGAGGGCGTGCAAAGGGAGTCGCCTCGTCAGAGGCGTGGGCCCTTTAGCAAGTCGTGCCGTTTTTCTTGTGATTGCCTGGAGCTTGCGTATGGATTCACTTTAGCGGGAGTGCAGGCCAAACGCAAGCTGTGGTGAGTTTTTTCTTGGCAAAGCTGCTGGGCCCGAGGGTGGGCCCCACGTCGGGATCCGGACCTTGGGAGTGCGGCTGCCACCGGTTCGAGTCTTCTGGCGCTGCCAATGTCGCGCACAGGCGTATTGGGCGGGCTGCTTGGAAAAGAATTGATGGACCAGGAGTGCACGGATAGCGACTGCAAGAATGCTCGAGCGAGCGCTGGTTTCTCAGCTCCTGGGCTCGAGTAGAGTGAAGCGATATACCCGCATCATGTCGCTGGTCGAGTCTGAAGCTGCCTTTTTCCAGCGGTGCGATGAAATCGCGCCTGGTCTCCGGACCCTTCTTGAGGCAAAGAACATCAAATCTTTCCGCAAACTCGCCTTCGCCATTGGCACTCCGCAGACTGCACCGAGTGAAGCTGATTTTCAGGGTTTTGCTTCAGAAGTGTTTGTTGGTGCGCCGTCGCTGTCTCAGGTCGCAGATCTTCGCACTTTGCACTTCGAAGCCACTGCTTTTGTTGTTGCGGTACTTAAGGAGCATGTCACAGGGACCGAGGGCCCTGAGGGTGCACAGAGCATCAAGCGAATTCCTCCGGCTGAGCGCCGGGCCCGGTTGTCAGCTCAACAAAGGCGTCTGAGGGGTTTAGATCTGACTGGTGAGTTGTGCCCCAGCCATGCACTGTGCGACATGGCGAGCACAATCTATGAAACTTCAGTCATGACTTGGATATCACCCAGCAAGTGCTCTAAGCGTGATGCTGAGATTCAGTCTGTATCGAAGGTCGAGGCCAAATCGGCTATATCGCTTGAGAAACAGTCTCTTGTTGTTGTGCCGCATGAGCCTGCCAAAGCTGATACTAGCACTGAACTTCGCTTGCAGTGGGCGCTCATGAGGCGCGGAGTCGCCTTTGATCAATGTCGGTTGTTGTCATGGGACTTCCACCAGAAATGGGTCACCACACTCATGGAGGCCATGTGCGAAGCGCCTCCCCCGGGCTATTCAGCCATTGGCGCTGCTCAGGTTGTAAGAGCCGATCGGGAGCTGTGGACCTTATTGGCCCGGGACTTCCCTGGGCCTTATAAGGTCAATACCTTGGGTGTCTCACCATGTGATGCGGTGTTCGAACGCCTCACTACACATCCTCGGATCGCTCAGTTTTTGCTGCCGCTGCGAGGTTCTGGATCCAGTTCGAAAGCTGACATGTCTCGTCCTTCGACAGGTGCATTGCAGGTTGAGCTGGGTGGAGCCCCTTCGAAGCCGGTTGTTCGCCCCAAAAAGAAGGCCAAACCGCAGCCTAAGAAAGCTAGCAAGCCCGCTTCGCTTAAGAATTTTTCTTGCAAGCATTCGTCTGGCAAGCCGATTTGCTGGGCTTTCAACTGTTCCGAGGGCTGCAATCGAGATGTCAACAACAACGCTGTTCCAGGTCTCCCCGGATGTAACAAAGGCTTGCATGTGTGTTGCAAATGCTTTCGTGCTAACCACGGCTTGACTTCTTGTCGTTCGAAGGAATGACTAGAGCCCGAAGTCGTTCATGCCTCAGAAGTTGGAGCTGCATGGGAGGCCCCCTGTCGGAAGGCCTCGAATTTGCGTCTTTTTGAACCATTTTGCTTAACGGATCTTCTCGTTGTCGAAATTTCAGAACACGGAGCACAGCTTTGTGGTGTTGCTCGCAAACATTCTTTAGGCATTTTGCCTGTTGGCTCGCGTGCTAGCAAGGCCTCAGGTGTGCATTCTTGCCCTCTTGACCTTGCTGATGAAGCACAGATCGTAGACTTCCTTCGACTTTTGCATTCTGTGCGAGAACGAATACTCTGCTTGTGGATTGTGCCGGATGCCAGCACCACTTCTCGCGCTCGGGATCGTCGTCTCAAGGCGCTGCACTCAGGTGGGCCGAAACAGCTTAGGTCTGCCAATCATCCGATGGGGCTTCCGGGTTTGGCGTTTGGCCTCAAACGTCGCACTGAATTGGCCAACCAGGCCATCGAGGCTACTGTTAAGCTTGCTCGCTGGGCCTCTGAGCATGGGATTCCATGCTTCGTGTGTAACCCTGCCCACAGTCATCTTTGGAGTGCACCTGTGATCAAGCAAGCCACCGATTGCCTTGCTTTCCGTTTTTGCTTCGACGCATGCATGCATGGCGGCTCTCTTCCTAAAAGAACCGTTGTTCTTTCGTCTCATGACATTATGCAATCCTTGCAGCTTGAGTGCGATGGTTGTCATTTTCATGATGCTTGGCTCCCTAAGGTTGCTGATGGAGAGTTGCGTCGCAAGAGTCGCCAGGATGTCTCGCTGCCTCCTCTCTTTCTCGAAAGGGCTGTCTCCTGCTTGTTGCTGTTTGCCTCTGCGCAAGGAGCTCGGTTACATGTTAGCTTACGCTCTCAGCTGCAGGATCCATGTACCCAGGCATCTCGCCTTGTGCTAGGCGCTCTTCCTCGCGGGAAGGTTCTTAAGCCGCTTGTGCCCGAGTTCGGTCGCTACCTCAAAGTGCTGACGTATCCTGAGACAGGTGCCTTGCTGCGCTTCATGCGACGCCTTCCCAAGGGTTCCAAGGTCACTTCGCGTTTTCTGAGTGGGGGAACAAATGCCTGCGAAGTCTCCCATGTTGGCGGCTATCTCGATACAGTGGATCTCACATCACAGCTTAGGCAGGGATCTTTTGACATTCAGGATGTCTCGCTTGCCTGTTTCGGCCGTAGCCCATTTGCTGACAATGCACCTCTTCACAAAGGTTGTAAAGCTGAGTGCCTGAGCGAGCGGTGTTTCCAGACAGGCTTCATCACGAAGTCTGAGCTGAGCATGCTGCTTGACGTATTGCCCACTGATCGAAAATTTGCAAAGAGCAGAGGCGATTGCCTCGATTCCACTAAGACATGGACCTCAGGGGCCTTTCACTTCTCCGGCCAAGCCGGCCTCAGGTCCAACACTGTGGCATATCCGAGGACCACTGCTTTGCTTGCGGCTGTTGTTAAGGCGGTTTTCCCTAGGAGTTCCTTTTCTTCGGTTGGGTTGTTTAGGAACCTTAAGACCTGCCCCCACCGCGATGTCAATAACACTCCCGGTGTACCCAACCTGCTGATCCCTTGCTCCGACTTTAAAGCAGGGGCCGTCAGAGTTCGCCCGGCGGATCCACAGGAGCAGGAGCTTGTGCTTGAAGTGTCGCAGCACCCGGCGAAGCTTGATGCGTCGCTGGTGCACTCTACTGACGACTGGTCTGGCGATCGGATTCTTCTTGTTGCTTTTCATGTTCAGGGCGCGACTTCTATGAGTTGCGCAGATCAGAGGAGATGCACCGAGCTTGGATTTGTGCTTGACGTCGGCGCTGCTGGGGATGATGTACACGATGCCGCTGGAGTGAACCTTTCCTCTGCCGAAACTGTCTTTGTTGGAGTTCCGAGCGATCCCGAGGAGTTCATACGAAAAGCGGTGGAAGCAGGGCACCCAATGGACATGGGCATGCACGTGTGCCCAGCTGTGGATCGGGCGATCAGGGCCAACTTCTGCGACCCTCCTGAATTAGTCATCCAGCGGCGGCTAAGCACTCTTGAACGCTGGGAGAAACGGGCTAGTGTGCTGGATCCTCTCGAAGCGGAGGCGAACAACCGAAGGCCACACCACATACAGACGCTGCTCAAGGGCAAGCGCATCCTCTTGTGGAAAGAGCTCCTGAGCGAGATAGGCTACCCCGATGTCAAGATTCTCGACGAGGTTGAGCAGGGCCTGCCTCTCACTGGGTGGATGGCTGAGTCACAGGTTTTCGCAAGCAACCCGAGGGCGCCCACAATGTCTGTTGATACTGTCGTCGCTATGAACAGGGGCTTTCACGCTCTGGTCAAAAGGCGCCTCTCCAAGAGGCAGGATCAGGACGTAGAGCAAAAGACTTGGCTTGAGACAGAGGAGGAGATTGCTAAGGGGTGGTTCTGGATTGATGAGTCAGGCTGCTGGGAAGGGAAGATCATTGCGCACCGGTTCGGCCTTCTTCAGAAACTCAAACTCCGCACGATCGACGACTGCAGTGTTGGGGGTCTTAACTGCACTGTTGGTCTCCCGGAGAAGATGCGAGTCCATTCTATAGATATTCTTGCATCTATGTTGCGGCGCGCTCTGGAGCTTTGCGGCGGCAAGGCCACTTGTGGCTGGCTAGGCCGCACATACGATCTTCAGGCGGCCTATCGTCAGTTCGGCATAAGCTCTGTTGCTCGGGAACTCTTGAGGATTGTCGTCAACAAGCCTGGGGCGGAACAGCCCATCCTCCTTGGTGCCAACAGTCTTCCGTTCGGTGCAGTGGGTTCGGTTGCTGGCTTCCTCAGGCTGTCTATGGCTATCTGGACTCTCGGCCTGGTGGGGCTGGAGCTGTGCTGGTCTGCTTACTACGATGACTTTCCGACTGTCACCAGTGAGCCGCTTCTTGAGAATACGAGCTCGTGCGTAGACCGCTTGTTCAGGCTCATCGGGCTTGACTATGCTACCGAGGGCAAGAAAGCTCCACAGTTTGCGAGCTGTTTCGCGGCACTTGGAGTTCAGGTGGATCTGCAGCAAGCTCAGTCTGGCTCGATTGTTATCGGACACACCGACACTCGGAAAGAGGAGCTGACCGCTTGCATCGATTCCATTCTCGCTGATTGCAGCATGACTTCGAAGGAAGCAGAGAAGCTGAGGGGACGACTCGTTTTCTTTGAAGGATTCACTTTCGGTAGAGTCGCTCAAGTGGCTGTCAAGCATGTGGGCCGCCACGCTCAAGGCTCGAGTGGCTCTGTGAAGTTATCTGCTGATGTCAAGTGGGCTTTGGGTATGATTAAAACTCGAATCTGTCATGCCCTGCCAGTGACTATATCGGCGAAGGCACTGCAGACCACTTATGTCTTCACTGACGGCGCTTTCGAGCAAGGTCGAGGCTCTTTTGGAGGGGTTCTGATCTCTCCTCACGGCAGGTGCGTTTCTTATTTCGCGGGAGAAGTGAGTCGTGAGGCGATGCATCATTTGCTCGCGTCGTCCACTCATCCCATCTATGAGCTTGAGCTGCTGCCAGTGCTTATCGCCATGCAGGTTTGGGGGAAACTCTCCTCTCACCAGCAAACAGTTTACTATCTTGACAACGAGCCTGCACGAATCGGGATGATTAAGGGGGCGGGTGGCACTGCCATCGCGGACCTTATCATTTCCAAAGCTAGTGCACTTGAATGTGAGCTAGGCCAACACGCTTGGTACGCTCGTGTTCCTTCGCATTCCAACATCGCTGATGATCCAAGTCGCTTTTACTTTGAACGACTTCACAAGCTCGGTGCTGCGAGAGTTCTGCTTGACGAAAGCTGGGTCGCGAGCCTCGTTTTGGAAGCGGGGTGAGGCGGCCGGGAGGCTCGACGAAGGTTTCCCCTTCTCGCAACCAAGCTTTTGTGTGAAGAAAAAAAAAGAGCGACTTCTGGATCTCACAGATTGCGATTGTGATTATTATCACGCTTGCCATAAATACGATTGCAAGTAATTTTATATCTGCGCGAGAAACTTTGAGCACGGTTTGTGTTTGGAAACATAAGTGCTATTTCACCGGAGGTGACAATCACCTTATTTTTCCAAACACAAAATTTCAAGAACCATTTGGTTTTGAAATAGTGCTTGCGAAAGTTTCTCTTTTTCTACTTCACGCTTTTCTCACATGTCGTTTATTTTACAGTACATGTGTAAGAGTAGTGCTTGCAGTTGCCTCTGATTTGTGAGCCGCTGAAGCACTGGCTCGTCGCTGGGGGAAGTTTTTGCCCGCCCTCCCGCCCCTTTTGGACCTCTTGAAGGTCGTGGGGTTGCGCTCGCATGGTGCTTTGGGCACCGTGGAGCCGTTTCTTCGCCTAGCCCGGCCGTTTGAGGCGGCCGGGAGGCTCGACGAAGGTTTCCCCTTCTCGCAACCAAGCTTTTGCGTGAAGAAAAAAGAAGAGCGACTTCTGGATCTCACAGATTGCGATTGTGATTATTATCACGCTTGCCATAAATACGATTGCAAGTAATTTTATATCTGCGCGAGAAACTTTGAGCACGGTTTGTGTTTGGAAACATAATTACCTATACTCTTGAGGGGTTGCTTATTCCCAGAGAGCAAGACTCTAGCGCACCGCTGGGCCACAAGCTGAGCAGCTAGGCAGCTAGTCAGAACGGGCAAAGTGCAGCAGCCATGCAGCATAAATCGCTCAGATCCCGGAGCAGAGTATGAGCAAGGACCAGCTCAGATCACGGAGCGGAGTATGAGCAAGGACCAGAGCTCAGATCACAGAGCAGAGTATGAGCAAGGACCAGAGCTCAGATCACGGAGCGGAGTATGAGCAAGGACCACAGCTCAGATCACGGACCAGAATATGAGCAAGGACAGATCACGGAGCGGAGTATGAGCAAGGACCAGAGCTCAGATCACGGAGCAGAGTATTGAGTATGAGCAGGGACAGATCACGGAGCAGAGTATGAGCAAGGACAAGGGTATTATGCTTTTATCTCTCGGCGAGGCTCTCGAGCCAGTGCCTCTAATTAACATTCTTTGCGAACTAATTGTTTGTATGCTACTCTGCACAGACACAATGCACATGCACACATGACACATGTACGTGTTCGAGTGCAAGTGCGGTGTAGGAGTAGAGGTACGAAGAGAGCCCAACACCCCTTAATTAAGGAATACAGCTTAAATCATATCATGCGTCCCCTTATAATTTAAGGTATATTCCTTAATTAAGGGGTGTTGGGCTCTCTGGGTAGGTGATGGGCACTGGCCCGGAACAAGAACAATCAAGACCTCGTAAAAAGAAAGTCAAGAGTGAAGGAGTGCTTCGGGGCAGCACGGTAACTAGATCCGTAGATGTCCTGTCTCACGAGTTTCACGCGTTTGCAAGTGTTTGAAGCCACAAGCCTGACATGTCTCAGTGGAAACAGTTAGACGACGAAACTGCGAATGGCACTGACCGGGGAAGGGTTTTTGGAAGTTCAGGGATTCGGGGTCTCGTCGGTGATCGCTTGGCTCAGCTTGTGCAGTGCCTTCGTGTAACATTTGCCTCAACCCCGAATACCCTGCGTGACCGAGTGCATGTGCATCGGCAGAGGCCGAGAGGAGAACAGAGCAGAAATCCTTCAGTGCTTCGGACATAGAAGATCACGACATTGCAGAACTCCTTCAGTGCTTCGGATAAAGGAAACACGACATTGCAGAAAGCCTTCGGTGCTCGGGCGCACTGTGCAACGTGATTTAGTTGTGTTGTTGGGTTACCTTAGTACTTTCCCCATCCCTGGTTTAGGCGGTTACCGAACTACCCTAAAGGGCTCAAAGGTTCAAGCCGTTGGGCTGTCAGCCAGTCAATGTCGACGAAGGTGACGACTGTTTTTGACGGCAGCTATCAACAGTTCCTGCCATGGATGCTTGCAGGGCCCAGCGTTTTCACGATGCTCAGGCTCTCTCTGGCTTTCGCAGCGGCTTGCCAGATGGAGAGAAATTGCTGGCGAGAGGGTGCCCCATGCTGGAAGTAAACGCACAGCTAGCAATTCGGCACGATTCCGGATTTGTTCCTGAGAAGTGTGCTGTGTGTTCACTGGTCGCTTGGTGTTTGGTTTTGCTTTTGCGGTCTGGCTCTCCGTGCAAAGACTATTGCACTTCGATCTGCCGGTGATCACAAATCCAGCCAGCTGTGTGTTGTTGTACTGCAGTGAAGCAAACTTCGTGGATCTGCTTTTTCGGCAGAGTTAAGAATTTGAAATCAAGCCAAGGCTCCAAAAGTCATGCAAAGTCGAGTGATTTTATGAGACAATAGGCAGTCTGTCATCTTTTGGCACAGTGGCTTGTGCAAGGGCTTGGAGTGTGCACACCCTTCCCGCACGGGCTCGATTCCCCTAGCTGCATGGAGTGGCTGCATCGGGTGGCAGCATTGGAGGTGTTAGCACTGCCCCTTTTTTTTTGCATAGGATAATGTTCAGGGCACCCCTAAACTTAACACTGGAGCTGCCGCCGCCTGGATCTGCCCTTCGAAGACTCCCGACTACTCATCCCCTCAGCATGGCTGACTTGACAGGGGAGTTGGAATGGAATCTGAAGCTTGAACTGCGCTTGGAGACTGCCACCAAGTAACGGGACTGGAGACTGCATCAACTCACCCGGACTCCCGCCGGGGCTGCGTCTTGTGTTCTGTGCTTCTGTGTTGGACTGCTCTGGGGTCACAAGCAAGCAAGCCCTTTCCCGCTCCAAGCAGACCAACTTGTACAGCAAAATTTCACCAGTTCCAGTGGCTCAGTCAGTATCAGCCACTTTCATCCAGCATCAGCAAGCGATCCGGGTGGTCGGGTGGACTGACAAGGGCACCAGCTGAGCAACGACACTACAGCCAGTTTCAGCCATAATATCAGCCATAATGAGCCAACACATCCAGCATCAGCAAGTATCAGCAAATATCAGCCAGGATCAGTCAGTACCAGGATCAGCCAATCATCCAGCATGAGCAAGTGTCAGCCAGTTTCAGCCAGTATCACAGAATCGCAATATCATCCAGTCTCAAGCCAGTATCAGCCAAAATAGCCAGGCTCCACCAAGGCAGCCATTGAATGCCACCCCAAGGCCGGCATCAATTCGCATCAGCTGGGCAAGCCTGCACCAAGGCACCCATGGAATGCCACCGCAAGGCCGGCCCATGAAAAGTTTGATGATGCTGGCTGGATTGTGTCCTTTTCAAATAGCTGAAAACGGATGGCGCTTGAACTGCCCTCCCTTTCCAGATCGCCTGCGGCCGAGTTGGTTGTTCAGTCATGTAATCATCACGAGTCGGTCGACCACCCGGTCATAATCACAATAGTCGCAGCCCGGTGGGGTCTCCGGTGAGTGCTCCGAGTCGCCACCCCCTTTTGCTGAGCCTCCCAGTGCCGACTGCAGTGAGGCTGGCCCTGTAACTTCAGGTTTCTGAGCTTGATGTGAAGCTTCAAGCGCTGCCCGGTCACCTTGCTGTGCAGCTCAAGCTCTGCTGGTGTCTACACCGGCCCCAGCTCCAGGCCCATGCTGAGTAGTCGATGCCAGTCTTCCAGTGGCAGCTCCAGAGGGAATTGCAGGGGTAGGGGCTTACACCCTGAACATTAGCCTACAGTAAAAACCATGGCAGGGAGCAGCGCTAACACCTCCAATGGTGTACCAGGTGGCAGCGAGGTGCTCCACAACAAGTGCTCCATCGTTTTGCTTTCATCGCCAGAACACAAACCAGTTGATCATTGCCAAAGAAAATTATGTGTGGGTGTCCAATTGCTGATTGACGACACACACACACACACACACACACACACACACAGCATAGCCAGTATCAGCTAGGATCAGCACCACTGAACCACGATGGGGCTCTGAAATTCGAAACTGGCTGATACTTGCTGATGCTGGATGAAAATGGCTGATCCTGGCTGCGAATGGCTGTGAAACTGGCTGATACCTGCTGCTTGATGGTATTGAGCTTGGATGATTTTGAAATTGGTTGATCCTGGCTGATGTTTGCCTGATATTGATTGATACTGGTGGAAACTGGGTGATAGTGGCTGAGCCTGATACTTGCTGATGCTGGATGATGTTGTCTGATACTACAACACTTCCACGCACTCCGCGCAATGGTCACCCCAAAATCTCGATTCCGAGTCGGGAAAGGGCCAAATGAAACCTCCGGGGATTGAACAAGGGTTCTTCTACTCAAAAGCCGCTGCCAGACCACTGTGCCAGTACGTCCATGCTCCTTGAAGAACAATTCAGCCACAACCCAAGGCGGCAAACTGGTTGCTACTGGCTGATACTGGCTCAGACCGGCTGAGACTGCGCTGGCTCAGGCTGGCTGCAGCTGGGCTATGACTGGCTGCAGTACTGGCTGATTGGCTGATACTGGCTGCCATGAGTGTGCGCTAGGCTCCACCAAGGCAGCCATTGAATGCCACCGCAAGGCCAGCATCATTCGCATCAGCTGGGCCAGGCTCCACTAAGGCATCCATCGAATGCCACCGTAAAGGCCGGCATCATGAGCATCAGCTGGGCGAGGCTCCACCAAGGCAGCCATTGAATGCCACCGCAAGGCCAGCATCATTCGCATCAGCTGGGCCATTGAATGCCACCGTAAAGGCCGGCATCATGAGCATCAGCTGGGCCAGGCTCCACTAAGGCATCCATCGAATGCCACCGTAAAGGCCGGGCATCATGAGCATCAGCTGGGCGAGGCTCCACCAAGGCAGCCATTGAATGCCACCGCAAGGCCGGCATCATGAGCATCAGCTGGGCCAGGCTCCACTAAGGCATCCATCGAATGCCACCGTAAAGGCCGGCATCATGAGCATCAGCTGGGCGAGGCTCCACCAAGGCAGCCATTGAA